ACCCTACACGCACACACACACACACACACCCTACACGCACACCATACACCTTTACACACACACACACACACACACACACACACTCCTTCCCGGGTGTGTTAGGGAGTGGGAGGGATGCAGATTCGCCAGGGTCCCTGCAGGCGCCTCTGTTCCCACTGCAGCCAGCACAACAGGACTGGAGACAGGAAGGGGACCGGGAGGGGATCCGTTCACCCCGTCCTGCAGCTGAGCTGATTGCGGGGAGGAGGCTTGCTGGATTCCACCGGATGGAAGAGGATTCTGCAGAAAGCCGGGAGGTTTGAGGAAGGTCTGTAACGGGGAAAACAAAGCTGTCATCGGTGTTCGTTTCCAGCTGCTGAGACTGGAGAAACTGTCTTCGGGACAAACGGATCAGAAAGACAAAGAAAAGACAACGATGGCGCCGTGAGGGGGGAACGCCCGTGTGGGGGAGCCCCGGTGACATCGTGGTCACGCATTGGGCTGCGATCCGCAGCCAGGCAGCCCCATGGGAGCAAGACTGGGCTTTCTACTCCCATAAACGGAGTCTCAGAAACCCACACCGGCTCGTGCTGAGTCCGCAGTGGCTCAATTGCAGTGAGCTTGGAGTTTGGGTTTGGATTTGGATGCAGGGTGTATAGGAATCTGCCGAGCCCCAGTGGTGTAGTGGGTAAGGACTGAGCTGTGGCCCGCAGGGTGAGCAGTTTGAGACCTCTGGCCACTCTGCGAGTAAAAGATTGGGGTTTCTACTCCAGTGAATGGTTACAGTATTGGAAACCCACAGGGGTGGTGCTGCCCTTCCCCCAATGGAGTCAAGGCCAACTAATTGTAGACTTCATTGACAGTGAGGGTGACTTGGGGGGTGGAGGGTTGGTTTTGCCAATTTGCCACAGGTCTGGCGTGATGGGAGGCAAAATTCTAAACAGTGGGGGGAAGGTGGCAGATCTGAATCCTGTCCCTCCTCCCCGCCATCCCCTCTCCTTCTGGCCCCCCAGGGCTTTGGGGCTGGGCTCCCCGAAATCTCCTCCCAGCCCAGCAGGGACCCAGCACAGAGCGCAGCCGAGACACGCCCCTCCAAAGCTGCTAGAACTTTATTGGCCAAAGAAGCCCCCCGCCCCGCGCCCAGCTACACAATGCCGAACTGGCAGATGTAGGGCAGCTGGTCGCGGCAGCGCTGGTCGAACCATTTGCCCGCTGCGGCGCCCGACAGCACAGCGCAGTTCTCGGCCTTGCCGCCGTCTGGCTGCGCGGTGATCTCTGTCTCCCAGTTCTTGTAGGAGATGCGAGCTCCCGTCATGTCCACCCAGGAGCCCTCGGCCGCCATGTCGTTGAGCCCCAGCCAGATCTGCGCCTCCGCGCCCACGCTCTGGCGCAGGTACTCGTACAGGGCGTCGTTCTCAGGGCCCGTCTGCGGGGTGCCCAGGGTGCCCCCGCGCGAGATGCAGTCCTCGCTGGCCTCGTGGAAGCTCTTGGCCTGGGCGAAGGCCAGGAAGCACTTCATGTGCACCTTGATGCCCTTCAGGCAGACTGGGGGGCGGGGGGAGGAAAGGGCCGTCACTGAAGGGTCGCTGGGTTCCCAAGCCAAAGAGCCACCCCCTCTCAGCCCATCCTAGGCCGCCCCTTCCGCGCCGGCCATCCCCCAGCCTCCGCAGGCATGAGGGGTCCCAATCATCCATGCTCCACAGGAGCCTCTGCTTATGGGGGGGTCCCCGGAGGCAGAGCACTACCCCAATCCTGCGAAAATGGCTGCTGGGGGTGAGAGCAGCCCCCTCCTCTGCGGGGATCAGCTGCCCCCACATTGGGACCTCCAGGGCGTGAGGGATGTGGGGGTGTACAGCGGGGGGCATTTGTGCCCATGGCAGGGCTAATCTGGCACCAGTGTTCCCGCGTGGCAGCTCTCCCTATGCCCAAGGCTGCGTTGCCTTCCTCCTCCCAGGTTCCCCCTAATAACACTGAGCCAGCCCCTGCCACACCCCTCCCTGAGGCAGGCCACCTGAGGAGCAAAGGAGATGGAGCTGTCAGAGCAAAGACCACAGGTCAGGGCCCCAGCGAGACCCAGGTCTGACTAACAGACCGAGCTGGAGAGGACGAGGTGTGTCCTACAGGGCTTTGGGGAACAGGACATAGAGAAGGAAGCCCCTGGACAGAAGGGTGGTGGGAAGCCAGGGGCTGGGGGAGCAGGCTGCAGGTAGGACCTGCTCTTTCAGGTGTGGAAGTCTGCGGTGCCTAAAACTTGTATCTGAACCTGGCTCATAGGTTGGTCATTCAGATAGGAATAGAGAACGTGCTTTGATTTAAACCAACGGTTCTCAACCTGTGGGTTGGCGACCCCTTTGGGGATTAAACGACCCTTTCAAAAGGGTCGCCCGATTCATCACAGTAGCAAAATGGCAGTTATGAAGTAGCAACAAAAATAATTTTATGGGGGGGGGTCACCACAACATGAGGAACTGTATGAAAGGGTCACAGCATTAGGAAAGTTGAGAACCACTGATTTAAACTATTTCTTAGCTTCATTTATAAGCAGAGGGTGGAGACAGCTTGGTATGCCTTTGATGGGCCCTGCAAATGTGAGGGGCGGGCTTGCACCCCATCCCATACGCCCACTCACTCATTCACTTGCTCACTTTAATTCCACGCCAGTCGCTCAACAAGATCAGAATCGGGCAACATCACCATGTCATGTCCCCAGGAGCACCCCAGAGCCCTGGAGCCTGATGGAAAAACTTTGGGCGGCCTCCAGAGTACAGTCCCTGTCCTTGGCTGCTAACTGGAAAGCCTGGGATTGAAGTCGGGATTGAAGTCCTCCTAGCAGGGCCCCAGAAGAGCCAGCCGCCTGGCCACAGCGATATACTTTGGACAAACGGCCCCGTTGAAAGCTTTAGGGGGTGCAGTTCTATTCTGCCACACACGGGGCGCCCGTGAGTCAGAATAGGCTCCAGGTTAACTGGTTTCCTTGGAGCAAGTGGAAGGGAGCCAGGCTGAAGCAAGCTGAAAATTGAGCTGGGTTAGTTAGCTGTTTGCTGTCCAAGCAATCCTGGCTCAAGGGGCAGTATAGGACTGCCTGCACCGGCAGTCTGCCACACCCTTCTCCCTCAGAGCAGCCAGGGGGCTGGAACCACAGGCCTTTGGGCTGGCGGCTGAGCCATCAACTACCAGCCCACCAGGGCTCCTTCGAAATACACTGCTATAGAGACGTTCTGATTACTAAAGACCACCACCTACCAAAGCTTCTTGCTACAGGGATGGGCTGTCTCCTCTTTCTCCCATACAGAAGCTGGTGGGTTTGAATCACTAACTCTAGCAAACCCCACACTACCAGGGCTCCTGGAGTTGGGGTTCGGGGGAACACGTATCTCTTCTGAGAATGTAACTGTGAGGTGGTGGTGGGGAGCCACAGCTCAGAGGTTCTCCATGAGGGTGGAGACCTGAGTCTGTGAATGCTGAGAGAATACAAATTGCCCTATGGGAGGACCTTGGGCTGAAGGATGTTCCTGAGGAGGAGAGAGGGGAGGGGAAGGCCAGGCACAGGAGAGCCCTGTGCTGTGAGCAGGGGGGTGTTTGCAGACTCCAAGGAGGTTCCCTGGTGGCATCTTGAGAGGCTGCAGAGCAGACCATTGGCCAGCCAGGTCCCCAGCTCCAGGTGGGGGCCTGCCGTCATGAGCCGCTGGGGGCTGACCCTGGAGGAAGGAGAAGTCCAGGCGCAGGCCCTGAGAGTGTAAGCTGTGATTGATACCCCGCGTCCTCCGTGGAATGGAGGGCTGTGGGGGACCTCTAGGGAGCAGGGTCTGAGGTGCACAGAGAACAGAGGCGGCAGGAAAGGACCCTGTGGGAGAGGGGCTGGCCCCGGCCGCACAGTGCGTGACATGCTGACTGTTCAGTGCAGACCAGGAGTTCAAGCCTACTAGCTGCTTCTTGGGAGAAGGGTGAGGCTGTCTGCACCCATGAAGAGTTCGCCTCAGACCCCGTGGGGGCAGTTCTGCTCTGCCCTAGAGGGTCACAGTGAGTCGGCATTGACCCTGAGACAGTGGGTTTGAGTGAGTCTTGGCCAAGAGGGGAAGAAGAGCTGCTAGGGTGTCAGCCTCGCAGAGCTGGGCAGGTGGGGCACCTCTCCGGACCCCAGGCTCCATGCCCTGTGTTTTTTCCTAGCCTCGGTGGGCCACTTCATGCAGAACCAGAAAGGCCCAGGGCCAGCAGCCCAAGCACCCAGCTCAACACCATGACACCAGACAGGATAGAGGACTGGCTCCCTTCCTGCCTCCCATCTTCCCTTCCTTCCTTGCATCCTGCTTGGCACTCACCAGGAGGATGAACATTTATCTGCCTCAGTTTCCCTGCTTGTAATGATAAATTCCCCCTCACCATCACTATGGAACGAAGCTGCCGACACCCCGGCTGTAGCCCTGATGGGGACCCCAGGGCAGCGGAGCAGGCCGAGAGGAGGGTGCCTTCTGGGGGCTTCATTTTGGGAGTACTCAGGGGCCAAGCTTCTGGGTTGGGGGGTGTATGTGTACTGGAATCTCACCAAAGATCCTTTTGTCTGCTTGGGACATTGCCAATTCACCACCCGGGTGGCCAGAGACCCCATAGCACACACCTGGGTAGGTTTTGAAGACCCATGTCAGGGGGTCTGCCTTCCTGAGAGGAATCAGACTGGGAAGGGGGCTCCCTTGATCTAATGCCTCGCCTCCACCGCTGGCCTGAGCCCCTCGCTGATGTTCCCCGGCCAAGGAGGGCTCCATGCCCACCTCCAGCCCCCAGGCCCCGCACTCACCTGTCTGCAGGGCCTGCTGCTCTTTCAACAGCGCCACCTCCTGGGCCAGGCTGTCCAGCCGGTTCTTGAGCTCCTCGAATATCTTGGGGACCACCCCATCTAGGGTGAAGTCAGAGAGAGGTGGGGACAATCACAAACCAACAAGGGAGGCAAGACAACAACCAGTCCCTGGCCAGCGGGCAAAGGTCGCATTCAGAGGCGGCTCAGAGAGGGTGTCTTTTCTCCCCCTTCTGTTCCCTGTGCTCACTTGGCTGTGTGTCTAATCCCCACCCTGATGCCCTGGGAGCCTGAGCCATCATCACCGTGGCATGTTGTTAATGTTGTCCCAAGACAGATGGGGTGACCTCACTACAGGCGGGGCTGCGAGGGCAGCATCCTGCCAGCAGTCAAGGCAACCCAAGGACACCCTCTGGACCCCAGGGGTGTCAGAAGGGGAGCAGAGCTGTTTGGGGGGGTGGGTATTAGTTTTAAAGCTGAACCTGCTTCTCTCGTCTCAGTTCTTTGATACGCTATAGATTTGATAGCTGGGGCCACCCTCTGCCCAACAGAACATGGGGTTGCCAATCCACATAACCCTTTACTTCTCTAAGGAGCCCTGGGGCTGTCATGGTCTGGCTTTGGGCAGCAAACCGCCAAGGTCCACAGATTGAAACCACCATCCTCTGATAGGGAGAAAGACAAGGCTTTCTGATTTACGGAAACCCACAGGGGCAGTTCTGTCCTGTCCCATGGAGTCTCTCTGAGAGAGAGAATTCGAGTTGTATTTCCTTATTTTCTGTGCATCAAGCACAGGCTTTGGCACATTTTGCATCATGCACTCGTCACAACAAATGCGACTGCCGATTCTAAAGTGCAGCCCGGCCAGCGCTCCCCACACACGGCCCAGCCACAGAGAAATGCTGTGTGGACTCAGGGCAGGTGCCCGTTTAGATGGTCTCTGAGGTTCCTTCTGATTTTACGAACCCTCCCCCCACCGAATCCGCAGTCTAGAGAGTCCACCCACCCCCTCAGGCCCCAGGGAGGCCTTTGCTCAGGTTCAGGGACGTAACCAAGAGGGGGATGTGAGGAAAGAGCCTGAAAAACAAGCCCGGCAGGCTCCCTGGACATGGGGCCGCTCTGGGCCCCTCCTTACCTTTCTTGCCACCTGGGGCCTTCTTGGTCTTGGGGGTTGGGGACTCAGCGGTGGCCTGGGGCAGGAGGGATGCAAGGCAAAGGAACAGATAGGCCCCCCAGAGCTCCATGCTGCTGCTGCTGTTGCTGCTGCTGCGAGCTGCTTCCGCCTGCAGTGGCCCCGTCCGTCCGTGGAAGATCGGGGGCGGGCTGCGTGTGTGAAGGTCACGGCTGAGAGGGAGGACCCCTGTCCAGAAAACCCTCCCAGGCCTAGCTGCCAGTGGCCAAAAGGGAAGGGGGGAGGAGGGGAGAGTCTGCAGAAGGAAAGAGGCCAAGGAGCCACCGGCTCGCTGCCCAGGAAACACCCAAAGGACCTCCCCACCCAGCCCAGCTGGCTGCCCATCCCTGCCTCCTGGAAGGGGTCCTTCTTCTCTGGGGTCCTGGGGAGAGTCTGCTGGCTGCCCTGCCCCTACCGGGGGCAGGCTTTGGGTTACACCCACCCTCTGCTCATAGGGCAGGGGGAGGGCCTTCCTCCAGCCGTTGGAGGGACATGCTGTCGCGGCCCTCATTTACCACTGGGAAACGGAAGCACAGCCAGGCTGAGGGGTTTGCCCTATCTGCCCAGGCCCCCAAGAGGCAGCAGCAGTATCTGAACCCGCAATGGGATGGCCCCAGAGTCACCAGACCCCCTCTGGCAGCTGGCTGCCATGGGGTTTCGAAGGGTCCCCATGATTGCTGGTGGGTCTGCATCTGTGTGCTTGGTTGAAAAGCACAGGGGGTCCTTCCGTGGCCCTTCTCGGCCATCCTGCCTTGAAGCCCCCCTGAGGTGGGCACCACAGAGGAGGTGGCTACAGGGGCCCCACAGTGTTGTCAGGGATTGAGGTGGGGGCAGGGTCCCCAGGGAGCAGAGTGCCAGAGTCCAGCAAGGGAGAAAGTGCCCCCTCAAGGGGAGTGAGATAGTTAAAGATTACTGTGCCAGCCTGACTGATGAACACATGTGGGGTTAACTGAAGGGTGGAGAGATAAATGGCTCGGTGAGCCTCGCCTTTTGAGTTCTCGGGTCTCTTGCTTTCTGATGGTCGGACCAGGGTGTGGCTGCTTTAGCCAGTTCCCTGCTTCAGCTGGCAAGGCTCACTTCCTGGGAGACATCCCTAAGGAGAAGCCACATAGTCTTACCCCGATGGAGCCCTGGATGCTGGAGCAGCCGTGTGGAGACCCCTGCCAGTGCTGAGATGCTTACATGCTCACTGATTCAGTTTTCCTCCTGCAGTCAGCATCATTGTGTCTGTTTTGTGAGAAGGAGGAGGACTTTGTAGATTGGTGTCAAACATATGGGCTAATGTTGGACTTATGGGCTTGGACAGCATTGGATTGGGATGTTTTCTTAATGTTCACTTACCCTTTATATAAAACTCTCTCTTGGAAACCAATCACAAATATCTACAAATAACCTGCTCCCTGGGGGATGGAAAACAGAGAAGTGGGTGAAGGGAGACATCAGCAGTGTAAGATATGACAAAATAATAATAATTTATAAATTATCAAGGCTTCATGAGGGAGGGGGTAGCAGGGAGGAGTGGAAAAAATAAGGAGCTGATACCAAGGGCTCAAATATAAAGCAAATGTTTTGAGCAATAAATGTGCTTGACACAATGGATGCATGGATTGTAATGAGTTGTATGAGCCCCAATAAAATGATTTTTTTTATCTTTAAAAACAAACAAAAAAGAAAATGTTTTGGAAATGATGATGGCAAATATGTACAAATGTGCCTGATGCAATTGATGTATAGATTGTTATAAAAGCTGTAAGAGCCTCCAATAAAATGATTTATTAAAACAAGAACAAAACCCCAAAAAGCAACAACAAAAAACCCTCTCGCTTATATACATATGAGTTTCTGTGGATTTGTTTCTCTAGCCTACCCACACTAACACAGGGAGTCAGAGCCTAGTGGGGTGTTGGGGGCACCCACAGATGAGGGCAGGACCTGCATGGGAGAGGGGAACCCCTGCACAGGACAGGAGGCAGAAGCAAGATGGGGTATGAAAACCTTAAGTCGGCCAGGTTTCTCACTATTAGAGGAAGGAGTGGTGGGAGGGAGAGAACTGGAGCCAGTCAAGTTGGCTGCCATCTGAGGCTTTGGGGCGCACCTGGTGGAAGGGTGTGTGCAGGGAGGGCCTGGGGAACCGCCCCTCAAGCCTCAAACACCCTGAGCAGCCTGGACCTGGCTTCTAAATTCAACTTTCTTGTGAAAAGGAACCTAGGAGACAGGCCATACCAGGGCCCAGACAGAGAGTAGGAACTGAACCTGGAACATGTAGCTTGGCCCCAAAGTGAGCCTGATCGAGCATCTCCATGGGAGGCAGAGGGGCTGGCTCTGGTCAAGTCGGGGACAATGGGAGCGTCCAAATAGTGGCAGAGATAGAATGAGATAGGAAGCCCAAAAGTGCATGCAGATGTAAGCATGGAAGTGAAAAGGGGCGGATGGTTACATTGTCTCAATGTACCTCCTATTGTGGATTAAATGGTGTCCTTAAAAAATAAACAAATAGACTCACTCTCACTCACTCACTCTCTCACTCACTCACTCTCTCACTCACTCACTTTCTCACACTCTCTCACTCAGTCACTCACTGACTCACTCTCTCACTCACTCACTCTCTCACACACACTCACT